TTTAAAAATGTGCAAGGATTGATTTTAGTTGCATTTTATTTTTAAATACTAAAATTTAAAATAGGCCTACTGTTTTGCTAATTTTTTTGTATTTCTAATTAAATTTTTTATTTTAAGTGTAGGCCTATGTACTATGTGCTGTGTACTATTGTTGCTACTAAACATTGTTCTAGTTCTTACTACTTTTAACTTTAGTAAATCTAATCGTCTTATTACTTATTAAACTAACAGAACTAGTCTAGAGCTAGACATTTTTTTCTGTTTCTTAAAAAAACATTAATTACTACACTCAATTTTATTAATATTAGGGCCTAATGGAGGCGAGCGAGTTGACGAGATTCCTTCCATAATATTGTTGACATGGAATAAAAACGTGCTTTTTAGATTTAGACCGTAAAAAAAAATAAAAAATAAAAACTTAAGCCTAAAATTAATTTAGAAATTTTATATTTTTAGAATAAATGCTATAAAAGTTGCAAATCCAGAGAACTTGAAAATAATTTGTTGAGTTTAAGGCTACATTTCTATTTATTTTCATCAAGCCTAAGTTAAAACCGGATGTTTCACTTTCGTAAGACAAATATTGATTGGCTGTACAGTAACTTAGTGATCGATAACTATTTGTTTACAAAACTTTGCAGATCAAGTTTTTAAATAACAATGCAAATTAAAAACCCCATGACTTAGTTTTCTATTTTTAGCTTACAATGTGTACAATAAAATCAATGTCGGCCTATCCAATAGCAGGATGCCATTGTTTATGTCGCCATTACACGTGAAAACCAAATTGTTTTGGCTTGTTTTTAAATTTTCAATTAGTTACCGAAAATTTTTAAAACATCAAATAGACCCAATCTTTAGTAAAGTCCGAAATAAACCAGACAGACAGGATTTTATAACCATATTAATTGTAACTACGCCGTGCCTGATTTTTAAACTAATTTATACACCTCTCAAATACCTTTGAGAGTTTTCTCGCTCGTGTCCATTAATAATATTTTTAGATTTAACAATTGTTGCTAATTTTTTGTCAATTAAACATTATGTCAAAACATTAATTTTATTAATTTATATTAGAATATATATATAGGCCTATATATTAGCACATTTCTAAACATTAGGCTATTTATTAAAAATAACATGGCGGCAAATAAATGATGTTTTACGGTATTTCCTGTGGTTTCGGAATCGCTTGACAGACTACGCAATTGTTTTACTGTTTTTTACCGCTGAACAATTCCGGAATAATCGATGCTATATCATGATTTGACCTAGCGTCGGAAATTAATTCTCCTGTAATTTTTGTTGAGTTTCATTAACATTCTCTTATAATATTTAATTAATAATTATTATGTCGTGTGTTGTTACTATAGGTAGGCCTAATGGTTATTACTGTTTTTAAGTAGATCTAGTTAACTAGTAAGTAAAGTAAGACGATTAGATTTAGTCCTTCTTACAAGATCTAAAATTCTAGATCTACTTTTAACTTAAGTAATAAGTAAATCTAATCATCTTATTATCTAGATCTAGTTGTCACAAATCTTCTGCAATTTTTTTCTGTGTTTCTTAAAAAAAATTAATTACTACACGACTTTATTAATAGTATTAAGATTTACTAATTGTTACTAATTTTCTGTAAATTAAACTTTAAATTAAGTTAAAACATTAATTTAATGCACTTGATTTTATTTTCATTTCAATGGTCAATTAAACTGGTTTACAGTAAAGAATGTTAACTAAACTCAACAAACATTCGGATAATTTCCGACGCTATATCGTGAGACTACCCACTTAAACTTGAAATAATTAAAAATACAAAATAATTAGCAGATTAGACCTATTTAAATCTATGCAAATTTTTAAACATTAGGCCTAGTATGTAGGCCTATTAAAAATAAGTAAGGTTTTACCAACAATAATATATATTATAGTACAGTATACCACAAGATCTACCATCTATTTAACTAAACTATTAGTCATCAAGATTCCTCTTCTAGTTTAGATGACATCTGGGATTAAATTTTACTTATTAAGACTGAATTAAGAGATGGTTGAGTTTCAAGTTTTACAATGTGCATTTTGTCAAACTTTTCAAGTGTTGCAAGTTACAAAAACAACAAAGTGGCAATGTAAAGTGTGTGGTCAGAAACAATCCACAATAAAGGTGAATACTCTTTGAAAATGATAGACTACAGCAAAATAGACAGGGAGTGTTAAAATCCTGGCCTGTGCACTAGAGATTTCAAAATATGGAATGCCGAGAGCCACTATTTTATATTCTTAAAACTTATACTGAATGTAAGCCTCACTACACCCCACAGCAACCCATTATCTATCTCACCACACCAACCCATTATCTATCTCACCACACCAACCCATTATCTATCTCACCACACCAACCCATTATCTATCTCAGCACACCAACCCATTATCTATCTCAGCACACCAACCCATTATCTATCTCACCACACCAACCCATTATCTATCTCACCACACCAACCCATTATCTATCTCACCACACCAACCCATTATCTATCTCAGCACACCAACCCATTATCTATCTCAGCACACCAACCCATTATCTATCTCAGCACACCAACCCATTATCTATCTCAGCACACCAACCCATTATCTATCTCAGCACACCACACACCAATCCATTATGTCTGACACATCCCACACTAACCCTTAATGTCTTACCACACCCCACATCATCTGAAGTTCTAAATATATCTTAATTTTTTTTATTGCTGTTGGGAAATGTATGCTTACTTTTAAACTTATATAGAATTATATGACATTAATTTGTTCTCCTCTTTGATCAAAGGGCAGATGAAGTAGATTTTATCTATTTTTTGTTGTTGTAATTTCTGCAAATGAAAAAAATTGTGATGTCAGCACTAAGCACAGCTGTTTTTCCTTACTCCATGTGTCAGGTATCAGTAACTGTTGTGGAACAAAACTGATACAGGATTGGTACAGCCCACTCTAGTTTATCTATAACAGGATTTCTTAAAGCATATTCACTAATCTTATTTAACCCAAACATTTGGTCTGAATTGATTACATTTGATAGTAAAAGTAGACCTCACTATGTGCTGGAGGTTGAATACAAACTGTTGGAGGTCCCCAATTCACTTTAGAATAGCAAGCTTCCATGTTATTGTATTATTTCATTTGTACTCACTAGCTAACCTAACCCTAACCCATTCCAATTTAGATAGCAAGCTTCCATTTCATGTTATTGAATTATTTCATTTGTACTCACTAGCTAACCTAACCCTAACCCATTCCAATTTAGATAGCAAGCTTCCATTTCATGTTATTGAATTATTTCATTTGTACTCACTAGCTAACCTAACCGTAACCCAAAACCCAAGGTCTGACTAAATTATAACACTATAATCAGTAACAGTTAGATCATCACCTAGTCTACAATGCATAATATGTAATACATATTATGAATAATAACAAAAAGTAGGCCTAATTAAAACTCAATGCTGCTTAATAAGGTTTTCTTTTTTTCAATTGGTTTGAATGTATTTGGTTATTAGGTATATGCACATGGGACTGGTGCAGATTGTCGTAAATATGTCCAAAAGCTGAACACTGTTCGAGGTCAAATAGATGAAGTAAGTGGTGAGAAAAGTTTGGAGGGTGCCAGCTCACAGTCTGTGACGCTTGATGCTCATAGTATTGGCACTTCATCCAACTGCAAACCTCAAGTAGTAAGTTCAAACTTTTCTCTTACTTGAACTGTGTTAAATGTTGTGTTTGTCCTCTTGGTGGTATATTGACTGTGTTTGCCCTGTTTGTGGTAAATGTATTGATTCCTTGTTTAAACACTAGGACAAGGCAAAAAGCAAATGGTCAGTTTTTTTAGACGAGTCAGTGAGCCAGCAAAATGTGAGTGGACACTTTGAAAATGAAGAAACTGACCATGTCACAACTGATTGGGCAGAGTTGAGGGATTCAAAAAAACGTAAGCGAGTTGAGCATCATACAAGGTTTGTCAGCTAGGTTTTTACCTTTTAGTTAGTGTGTCATTTCCTTACATGTGATGCATCCATAACACAAAAGGGTTTTTTCATTTTCTTATTTTCTCTTGTTTGGAATAAAGTGCTAGATAGTGCTTCTGTTTAAATCTGCTGCAGGTTTTTAATTCCTTTAAATTAATTTAATGCTTATTTTGTGCCCTTGATAATTTTTTAAAAAGAGTAATTGGAGAAGAAAAGATGGCAGTCTTAGAAGTTCTCTAATTTTAACACGTTTTTATTAACTCAGCTTTGCGCGTGTTTGTTGTTAAAATTGACGTCGAAAATTAGCCCACTTCTGATTGCTCTAGAGATCTGAAATTTGGCATGCAGGCTACTTTCGCCTAACAATTTCAGATGCAATCATAAAAACTAGCAATTAGAGACCGTAATTAGCTTAATTTAATTACGCCCTAAGGACCATAAAATTGAGGACATGATTTCTAAAGATACCGACAAGACTGGAGGCCTATTGACACAGTTACTTCGGCCCCAATCGATGTGAGCGCGCTGGCCGTGATCGTATAGTGGTTAGTACTTCGCGTTGTGGCCGCAAAAACCCAGGTTCGAATCCTGGTCGCTCAAGATTTTTAGTCCGTGTATTTATAAACACTTAGTCAAGTCATACTTAATCAAGTCATTAGATAAAGTAGAAAATAAACTATATAAAAAACTTTTTTAAAAACCACGTTTTTCATGTGTAGCAACGGACTAAAAAGGAGAAAATAAAATACTTAAAAAAAACTTTTTAAAAAACCACGTTTTTCTTGTGGACTAAAAAGTAGAAAATAACTATTTACATACATTTGATGACAAAAAACGTGGGTCGGGCAGATGGGTCGGGAAATTTGATGGTGAACGTAACCACGTTTTTTGTCATCAAATGTATGTAAATAGTTATTTTCTACTTTTTAGTCCACAAGAAAAACGTTTTTTTAAAAAGTTTTTTTTAAGTATTTTATTTCTAATAGGATGTCACATTTTAGCTTACCCCTCCCCAATTACAATAGTTATTTTTTTATAAATTTTTTTTATTTTAAATTTTTTTTTCTGAGCTGGTTCAAGTATTGAAATTTTACATAGCTTTAAAAAAATGGGAACTAACTACTAAAATTTAGTTTTAAAATATTACATTTTATGTGGTAATACCACACTTTCTAAACCCCTCTCACCCTAATGAATTGTAATTGAATTTATGACCAACCTTCATTCAATTTGTTTTACATGAGTATCAACCTTCATTCTATTAGTTTTACATGAGTATCAACCATTGTATTAGTTTTACATGAGTATCAACCTTCATTCAATTAGTTTTACTTGAGTATCAACCTTCATTCAATTAGTTTTACATGAGTATCAACCATTGTATTAGTTTTACATGAGTATCAACCTTCATTCAATTAGTTTTACTTGAGTATCAACCTTCATTCAATTAGTTTTACATGAGTATCAACCATTGTATTAGTTTTACATGAGTATCAACCTTCATTCTAATAGTTTTACATGAGTATCATTATCAATCGTTGTATTAGTTTTACATGAGTATCAACCTTCATTCAATTAGTTTTACATGAGTATCAACCTTCATTCTAATAAATTTACATGAGTATCCACCATTGTATTAGTTTTACATTACATGAGTATCAACCTTCATTCTATTAGTTTTACATGAGTATCAACCTTCATTCTAATAGTTTTACATGAGTATCAACCTTCATTCTAATAGTTTTACATGAGTATCAACCTTCATTCTAATAGTTTTACATGAGTATCAACCTTCATTCTAATAGTTTTACATGAGTATCAACCTTCATTCTAATAGTTTTACATGAGTATCAACCTTCATTCTAATAGTTTTACATGAGTATCAACCTTCATTCTAATAGTTTTACATGAGTATCAACCTTCATTCTAATAGTTTTACATGAGTATCAACCTTCATTCTAATAGTTTTACATGAGTATCAACCTTCATTCTAATAGTTTTACATGAGTATCCACCTTCATTCTAATAGTTTTACAAAGAGTTTGAGAACTTCATGTGACCAGACAGTAGAGGTGATCAAGAATTCTGGTTGGCCAAAAGATTCAGCTAAAAGTTCAGCTAGCCTCTCTTTTGAAAATGTATGTCCTCCAATCTACAAATCAATTGGACAGAGACAACAAAATAGCAGAGACAGACATCTTGGTGTTCCTGTAAGGGGTGCAGACACAAATGACTGGCACTCTGCCAGTAATCCTGTGATCATTGGTGCATCAGTTCAAGTTCCTAAAGAATGGGATCACCAAGTGCAGATTACAGCCCCTATACAAACAGCCAATAAACCAAACAAGGCAAAACAAAAAAGTCTTTCCAATAAATGGGATGTTTTCCTTGACGATAATGGTGATGATAATGGTGATGAAAGCTAACCTGTGTGGTAGGTCAGGGGGAGATAACTTTATTCTGAGAAATCTGATACATAAGTCTCCTACTTCTATAGTACTATTCAAAAAAAATAATTGCTCTGGCCTTTCTGATCAAGATAGAAAGTCAGAAGCAGACTTCAAAAAGATAGACCTATGTTATTTTGGATTGAAGCAAATGGTGTGACATTTAAAAATAAATATGGATTTTTTATTAACAATTGTCTCACTTTTTATAAAAATTGTCTGCTTTAACTTTAAAAAAAAATCTAGGAGAGAAAAAAAACCTGCTGCCTTGTAATTTGTTCTTAAATCTTGTGTGAACAAAGGCTACAGAAGCAAAACCAAAAAGAGAAGCAGGCTGAAAGTGGAGTCAACTTGTTTGTGTCGGAGGTAATCCCGTTAAACTTTACTATTAAGAAGAAGAAGAAGAATGCCATCAACAGTGTTGTGGCTTACCAGGTTGTCTAATCTTGGTATGTTTCTACTGTATAGGAAAATGAGTTACATAAGCGACCAAATACTTTTTTGAATCTGATAGAAGCATTTACCTCTTATGGTTATACTACATTTTTAATTAATATTTTTAAAATACTCCATTGCAAAATATGGTTCCTGGAAAGAAAAGTGTGCAAAATATACAGAATGTAAAGATCAAACTGATTTCATTTTAGTGCATGAATTAATTGTTTCACATTTTTATGACTCCTTTACTTTAAAATATTTATTTTATCTCAATCACAGCTGATGAAAGCGCCAAAACTTGTCATGTTGTAAACCAACCAGTTCTATTTAAACTTTACTCCCTTTTTATTGCTCTTGGTTTCCATTATTCATTTTCATCTCTTAGGGCTTTTAACTTAATTTATTTGCATTGGATTAATACATTTAATAGTCATTTAGAATTAATTTATCCAAATATTTTCAAAAACTGCTTTCAACCTCTCCTTGAACTTCAACCAGAATGGTCAGGGAGAGTAAAACAAAGTCAGAACAACTGTTTTCCATGATAGAAATACTCAATAGTGATCTCTGGTGTCTAGCGCCCCCCCGAAAAATTTTTACCGCCCCCCCCCCCCCCGAACGAAATGAAATTTATATAATTTGTATAGGAAATATATACTTTTAACAGTGCCCCCCCCCCCCCGAAGAAACTCTACCGCCCCTCGAAAATTTCAAGTGCCCCCCCCCCCACCCCGGAGAAAAAAGTCTGGAAGAAACACTGAGCGTAGTATTGTATTTTTATTAAATAATAATTATAACATTCCCAATTACCACAACACCCTGATTATACTAATCCAAATTAAAAATAAATGATGCTATATTACTATTATAATTTATATTACTAGTACTAGTAATTTTTTCTTTGACTATTTCTAGCCTTAATGAATTTTTAATGAAACTGGAAGTAATTTTGTACTTATTCATTACACAAATATAAAGTACGAGCCGACCCGCGGTGTATCATACGCCGCTATTTAGTTTTTTTCTACTTTTCAGTAATTCATAATTTGTGAATTCGACAGTAGCAATGCTGCCACTGAAAATATTTGCTTTAAAACACTAAATCCCCCCCCCCCCCCCCCCCCCCCGTGAAAGCAGCCTCCTCTTAGTTACCTCCTCTAAGTTTAAAATCGTTTCAAACTAAATTATCTGCCCCTAATAGCCGTCACCAAACCCGGCTCTACGAATGTAAAATGTAAACAGCGTGAACCACAGCTCACCAGAACATGTGTGGGGGGGGGGGGGGGGGGGTAGAGGAAGAGAGGGGACTGCAAGGCGCGCTTGCAGCTTATTTTCTAACGTCTCTCAGAAGAGAATTATATATATAGATTCTATTTTGGTTGAAAAATATGCTTTTTCAGACTTTCGGTCAACAAAAATTTGTACCAGCTTTTCAAGTCAGTTCTATTAGTACTAGTGTCAGCCGACCTACACACAGAGTTTCTTCCAGGCATCTCTTCGGGTTTCCCGAATTTTTTTTACCGCCCCCCCCCCCCCCCCCCCCGAACGAAATGAAATTTATATAATTTATATAGAAAATATATACTTTTGTAACAGTGTCCGCCCCCCCCCCCCCCGAAAATTTCAAGTCCCCCCCCCGGAGAAAAAAGTCTAGAAGAAACACTGCCTCCACACACTTACACACTCGTAAGTTTGATTGAATCAAATGTGATTTGTAATATAAATGAAAGTATGTGTGTCTCCTTTGTGCATGTTTAGGCCTTTTAATCTATGGTCATTAAACTTAAGGGAGTAAACGAGAATACTCCCGGGAATGTTTCTGCGAAAAAAAAATTTCTATTTCAATTTGGGATCACTTTTTGATTATTTCATATTCGTTTCATACTTCATGTGACGTCCATGGCCTATTAAATATTTTTAAAATTATGCACGTCGTAGTCAAAATTAATATGGTTATAAAATCATGTCTGTCTGTTTTTTTCCGGACTTTAGTAAAGATTGGATGTATTTGAATTCGATATTTTTAATATTTTCGGTAACTAAATAAAAAGCAAAAGCAATTTGGCTTTCACGTGCGACGTAAACGATGACATCCTGCTATTCGATTGCAATGTCATCGGGTCTTGACCCACGACACGAGCCAAGTTTCAGAAAAACTGGTCGGTTAGAACTTAAGATGTCAAAATTTCACACGTCAGTTTCGATCGATGACATTGACAACAAAACACAAAGAAGCAACTTAGCATCCTACTAATTTGGACAAGATTTTAATTAATTCATAAAAATATTAATTAGGCATCCAATTAAGTCAAATTGAATGTCAGATTGCAGTCTTCATGTCTTGACCCACCGTGCCAACTTTTAAAGGATTCTGTCGGGTAGAGGTGCTCACGACAGAGGAAGAAAGTTAAATAAAAGCTTGTAAAAGGAGCTGGGGTGGCATTTTGGGGACTGGAACGGATTTATAGCATTTCAAATAATTTCAGTTCGGGAAATTGCTCTGAGTAGGTTTGAAAATGTAACAGAAAGTAATACGAAACGTATTATACTCGTATCTCAATGTACCACACACACACTATATATATATATATATATATATATATATATATATATATATATATATATATATATATATATATATATATATATATATATATAGGGGTCGTCCATAAATAACGTCACACTCGTAGGGGGGAGGGGGTCCGTAATTTTGTGATGGGGGGAGAGGGGTTCAGATGGTGCGCCGTCACACTTTTGCACTATAAAACAATGTTAAAAAACTAATTGTAGACGTTATTTCGCGTTTTAGAAAACTGTTTTAATAAATTGTAATAGGAATTTATTAAAAATGCTCTATTTTGACAGAGTTTAGAAAAATATCGATGTTCAAGAAAAATTCAACTGCAATGTTGAGGGGGGTTGTAGGTTGAGGTGTGACGTCATTTTAGGTGGGGGGGGGTGGGTCTGGCTTTTTGTGACGGAGGGGAGGGAGGAGGTAAAAATCGTCCAAAAAAGCGTGACGTCATTTATGGATGACTCTATATATACATATATATATATATATATATATATATATATATATATATATATATATATATATATATATATATATATATATATAATGTAACACATATGGTTATATATATATATACATTGAGAGAGAGGCATTTACCTTACATAAACACACACACACACACATTCAGCAGGCACAATTTAACTTCGCACACGAGCAATTCCTGCCATTGTCACCTACTGCCCCTGTTATATTCAACCCCGAGCGCCAAGCTATCAAATCTTCGTCTAAGCACTGTGTTTGGGGTTGCTATTGGCAACCTGAGTGCGAACAAGTGGCCCATTGGTACCGACTATATGTTTGAACTCGTTAGTCTGCACAGCACGGTGTCATTGCAAATTTATAACCGGTTAAATTTAGCACCATTTAAACAAGATTCTTAGATGTTTTTTTAAATCGCTATTTGCTGGATATTTTTCTAATGTTTTAACTTTCTCGTATAAAAAGTATAAAGAAAGTATTATAATCTATCACAAAAAAATATAATTAGCGGTCTTTGTCGTTTTACACCTCCCTAGTTTATACTAGTAGAGGGAACGTAAAGGATTTATTGAAATCGTCGAAATATTTATTTTAATTCCAGATTTTGACAAATTTACGTTTTATAACATTTAGGTGCCTGTAAACCTGTGTGTGTTTTGTATGTAAACATGATAACTTGAGTACCATTTCAGTTATGTTGACCGAATTTCATATTTAAGTATCAAAAAGAATTTTAGTTTTCTATCAGCGTTTAATTAAGCGATTTCAGGTTACCGGAAGTGGTACATACTCCATTTCCTGTTTTGTCGAGCACCTTTCAAGGTTAGGGAGACGAAATTTCAATTATAAATATTAGATTGCATGTAAATTATTGTAAATGTTTTTGATCAATTTTTTGAACGGTTTCTGGTAAGAAGTACTCCATTTCCGCGAGGACACTATAACGTGCGTACTGTTTTAGATAGATGACATTTATAATACAAGTAAAAGATCTTATATTTGGATTACTCAGACATTTTGAGTGACTTCTGATACTTAACTTTATTTCTGGTTTCTAATATCCATAATGTAAGCACTGTTTCATTTAGTTAAATGCAATTTTCAAATCAGTATAAGAATAAGATCTTAGTATCCTAACTCTATCAAATTTTGAATGACTTCCGTTGAAAGGAAATAGTACTTTACAGTATTCCGTTTCACAAAAATATTTATAGATGTTTAAATAACCTTTTGAAAATGAATCAATGTTTCCTTTATAAAAGACCAATTCTCCACTCAATTATACACACATTGTTTTATCTTTAAGTTCATTTTGGAGTGCGATTCTTTGTTCTAGTTCTACTCGATTCTATTCCATTTTATACTCGATGCTATTCAATAAAAAAAAAATTAAGTATTAAAAAGCTAATTTAAAAAGCAAACATTTCTATTGCATGATTGCACTGAAAGTGCCATCCCTTGTATTTTTATATAAGAATATACGAGAAAGTTTATGTAAAACATTTGAAAGCTTTAACTTTGTTTAATTGTTTTTACAAACTCGGTGCTTTGAGACAGTAAAACTCGATGCTTTTACGTTAAAAACACTTCTCGAATTGATGGGATAAAATGTGTATAAAAGTACGTGTACACCGGTAGCTGCTAAAGAATCGATAGTTAGGTTCCACGCCTTCAGGCCTGTAGTATTGAACTGTACAACATACACAAGTAATGGCCCAGCAGTCATGGCGGCCAGTTGGATTGGACGAGCCGGTATTCTGACTAACCCAGTCCTGTCACAGGTAAGTCAATGTTTTGTCATTTCGATTTGTCTCAGGTAAGTTGTTGGCTAGTCAGGGAAAATCTTCCAACACACAACCTTAAGCTTATGTTGCGTTATCCTCCTAACGGATACACCAACTCAGCTCTCACAACATTAACCTTATGTCAGCGGCGTAGCGAGGTCGGGTGTCACCCGGTGCGGCACTTAATGGTGTCACCCCCCAGAGGCGTAGCGACCCTACCCGGGGACAAATTTTCGATTTGCACCCCCCCCCACCCTCAAACTTTCGATTTGCACCCCCCTCAAGTTTTTCTCTATATATTTTGCTATTTTTTGCCTTGGTGTCACCCCCTTTAATGGTGTCACTCGGTGCGATCCGCACCCCCGCCCCCCCCCCTCGCTACGCCTCTGCCTTATGTTGCGTTATCTTCCTAACAGATACACCAACTCAGCTCTCACAACATTACCTCTAACACATATACCACCCGAACACAGCGGAGGAAAAAATCCTTAGAGGAAAGGGTACTTAACTAAAAATCCTTAGAGGAAAGGGTACTTAACTAAAAATCCTTAGAGGAAAGGGTACTTAACTAAAAATCCTTTGACTTGGACATTTGACACGGTGGTCTTATAATTAGAATCAGGTGTAGGTAGACTGTGCGCTATGGTCCGCTTGTTATTGTAGCTGTTGTTGTTGATGACACGGTGGTCTTATAATTAGAATCAGGTGTAGGTAGACTGGGCGCTATGGTCCGCTTGTTATTGTAGGGTTAGTCATGACTGCAGTAAGAGAATGTATTTGGGTCATCTACAGACTCAAGCAAATAAAACTAACACGAGTTCAATTCAGATCCTTTAATAATAAACGAGGACAATTTAGAAAACAACAGTTCTACCGTGGTACACAAGAAACTTCCACATGCTAACACGTCTAGTTTCAGTTAGGGAGCTTACAATCAAACACTACTCGTATTACATTCGTGACATATCTAACCCTACTAGCATACACATATAGGCGCAGATGACTCCCCCACACATATATGCCCCCAAACCCACACACATACAGACACCCATATCCCCCACCCACATACAGTGCGAGGTCGTCATGGTCGGTTAAGCTCATGGTTTGCTGAACCGAAAAGTCCCAAATTCGAACACCTGGGTAGATGAGGCTCACTATCCGGGGACAACAACTCCAAAATCAAACAACTACTGCCTTGTAGTTTGCTCTTTGTTGGACAAATGCTATGGAAGCAAATCCAAAAAGAAAAGCAGGCTGAAATCATAAACCACAGCCTATAGAGTGCATAACAAGTTAATTGCGTTGGAGGAAATCTTTTCCAACGCTAACATTGCCCATGACTTCACCACACATACAATAGCCATGATTCCCCCACACATACAATAGCCCATGACTTCCCCACACATACAATAGCCATGATTTCCCCACACATACAATAGCCCATGACTTCCCCACACATACAATAGCCCATGACTTCCCCACAGATACAATAGCCATGATTCCCCCATACAGACAACAACAGAATACGTACATCAGATGATGTTCAATTCACGCTGTAATTCATATTTTAACTAATTCACGTTGTAATTCATATTTACTTTCTCGTATATACGAAGTATAGAGAAAGTATTGTAATCGTGCAAAAAAATCTCTTGAAATTTTAACAATTTTCACCGTATTACACATCAGTCCTTCATCACATCCGAAGTATAGAGGACTTATTTTAATCGGGCAAAAATTATCAATCCAGATTTATCAAAATTAAGAGTTTTTATGCGTAATCCATTCTGAAAAACTGGGCTTTGCAATCCTGTCCGTATGTCTGTGTGTCTGTCTGTCTGTGTGTGTGTAAACACGATTACTTGAGTACCGTTACAGCTAGGTTGATGAAATTTCATATATAAGTATTTTATCAAAATCGTAGATCCGTATCAACTTTTGAGCGATTTCCGATAACCGGAGGTGGTACTTTTTCTACTTTGAATTTTTCAAAAGCCTATAACTTGAGTAATATTTCAGATAGATAAATGAAATTTCACATGTGAGTAAAAGATCTAATTTTTTACCTTCTGTTAAATTTTGAGTAATTTCCGTTGACCGGAAGTAGTAGCTACTTCCGATTTCTCAAAAAACTAATATAAATTTTTTTTTTTGCGCACTATTATGCACTTTTTTTATTTGGCGTTCACTTGGCGTGCAATTCTTTTGTCTACGAGATTTTATTCTATTTTTAAAACTTTAAGTATTTAAAATGGATTAAAAATCATGTCTATGGCCCGAGTTCCCATCCCCTGTTGTTTTATATAAGAATATTCGAGAAAGTTTAGGGGAGATCACTCCCGGTTTATTTAACATTCACGTTGTAATTAATATTTTAACATTCACGTTGTAATTCATATTTTAACTGATTCACGTTGTAATTGATATTTTAACTAGTTCACATTGTAATTCATACTTTAACTAGTTCACATTGTAATTCATATTTTAACTAATTCACATTGTAATTCATATTTTAACTGATTCACGTTGTAATTCATATTTTAAAAAACGTATTTTCCAGGCGAACAGCTCGACGTACAAGTCGTCGTCTGCTAAAGGCGGGACGCTACTGAGGGGCACAAAAAATGACGTCATATCTAACCCAAACCTTGAACTTTCTCTTGTTGAAAAATTACAAAACCACTACCGGAACCGATCCGCTTCGGATACTAATTCCAGGCACTTGTTCCGCCTCTTGTTCCAGTTCCAGGCAGTGACCCAGATTTATATGACCTTGACCTACATCATCCCCGGCGTGTTCGCTAGCTGGGAGCCAGAGAGCCAGTACTACCTAAAGGTTGCTGCCTGCTACATCTTTGTTATGGGCCAGGCCAACTGGCTGTGCTCTATCTGCTACACCAACACACTCCCCGATATCAGGGACAGACCAGAGCTGGAGAGGCGGAGCTGGTTCCAGACTCACACAAGTGGCGGGGTCAAGCCCAGCGTGCTGGACGACAACGGCCTTGAGTGGAAGTACTGTAGCAAGTGTGAGCGCTACAAACCACCGAGAACTCACCACTGCGATGCGTGTCGCACGTGCATTTTACGCCGCGACCACCACTGTTTCCTGATAGGCAAATGTATCGGACACTACAACCAGCGCTACTTCGTGGTCTTCTGCTCGCTGGGTGTCCTCACCGGCATCGTCGGCTTTGCTGGCACCGTGGCCTACCTGGTGAGCCTGCCCGACGCCGTAACGTGGGTGGACTACGTATTCCCCTGGTCGTTGTTCAAGTTCTGTGTGGGGCAGGTCAGCTGGCAGTTCCTCCTCTTGACTTTCCACGCCGAGATGTTGGCTGTGTTCGGGGCCATGAGTTGCATCTACAGCATCGGTCAGCTCAGCATCGTCTGCCTCGGCTTGACCCTCTATGAGGTCGCTAAGCACGTGGACGTCAAGGTCACAAGCTCACGAGCTGAAAACCTGCGCATTGTGTTCGGAGATTATTGGTTTCTCAACTTTCTTTTTCCTGCTCAGATTCTCTTCAAGCAACGACACGACGGCATGCACTATGACAACATCAAGATAGGCAACAACAAAGTCAACATTGAGTAGGATTTCTGATCGAGCTTTTCTCTATCTCATAGTATTCTATCACACCAACATATCACAAGATGCCGCACACCAAAATATTAAAAGATGATGTTTCAACATATTTTTTTTTTGGGAAATCTTTTTTAAAAAATCTTTGTGAGATTTTTGTAAGATGTTTGTAGGATGATTGTGGGATGTTTGCAAAATGTTTGTAAAATGATTGTAAGATGTTTGCATGATTTTAGTTAGATGTATGTTCGTAGGGGCTTTGCTTCAGTAAATGGTTAAACAACCACACCAATTAACCATAACATTTGTTTTTCTGCTTCCGTTTACCCTAATCGTCCGGCCTCCACTAAACTGAGAAGCAACCACTTTAATATATATATATATATATATATATATATATATATATATATATATATATATATATATATATATATATATATATACATATACATATATATATATATATATATATATATATGTATAGGTGTGTATGTATATATTTACATATCCATGCTCCTGTATTTCCCTTTTATGCGGGAGGTCTATTAACTTAGGGTTTAAAGATCTGTCTTGAAACGTCGAGTAATTGTTTACCTAAAGTGTGCCCGTTGATTACGAGTTTGCGTATCTTTGATATGTCTATACCAGAGGCGTAGTGATCCTTGGGGACAAACTTTCAATTTGGCGCCCCCCCCCCCATATATTTTTATATTTATAATGCAAAACTGCAGCTAAAATGAGCTTTTAAATTTTTTCCCAACCCATTTTGGCGCCCGAGGATATATGCACCCCCCCCCCTTCGTTACGCCTCTGGTCTATACTAGCAGGAAGAGAAACTGAAGGTCCATTGTCTGTCATATTTCTAAGGCATCTTGTACAGGCAGATGAGGCTCTATAGCAGGGGACAACAACTCTTCAATGAGAGACAACTCCAAAAACAAACCTGTTGACACGTATACTTAATTGTGCTGGAGGGGATACCTTCCAACACAAAAATTAACAACGAAGAAGAAGAAGAATGACTTCAATCCACGTTTGGGGTGGGGGTGACACCAAATTTATTAATTTACTAACAAATACAATGTTTTTTTAAACTTGATTTTAATAGCTTAGAGTTATGCCCCTAAATGCTTTTTTTTCTAGCTGGGTGCTCCAATTGTCGCCTTTCGACAAAAAGTTTACAAATTTAGTAAACCTATACGTTATTTTTCAGAGTGTTTAACCTATTAGATGTTTTATCCGGACAAAATTAAAAAATGTGTTTTTAATTCTGATTGTAGACAAAAAATGTTGTAAAAAAATTAATAAAGATAAGCGACTATATTCAGAGGAAAGTAACAATTGATCTGGTTGAATTTGATATTTACAATTAAATATGTAGGCGCGCGCACACACACACACACACACATACACACACATACAGATATACACACTCAGACATACACACACAGACACACACACTTACACACACATAAACACACACACACACACACAGAGTTTCTTCCAGGCATCTCCCCGAAGAAAGTCTACCGCCCCCCCCCGAACGCAATGGAATTTATATAGTAAATATTTACTTTTAAGCGTGTCCGCACGCCCACCCCCACCCCCCCCCCCCCCCCCACCGGAAAATTGAGTCCAAAAATCTCAAAAGCACTTCCAGAGAAAAAAGTCTGGAAGAAACACTACACACAAACAAACACACACACAGCAGTGGCGTAGCGAGGTCGGGTGTCACCCGGTGCGGCATTTAATGGTGTCACCCTCCCAGAGGCGTAGCGACACTTCCCGGAACAAACTTTCAATTTTCGATTTGCACACCTCCCCCCCCCTTCAAACTTTCAATTTGCACCTCTTAAAAGACTATTTAACACTCGAATTAATCACTTAAGTGAAATTATCATTTTTCTCTAAATATTTGCTATTTTTTGCCTTGATGTCACCTCCTAAATGGTGTCACCCGGTGCGGTCCGCACCCCTCACCCCTCCCCTCGCTACGTCTCTGACACACAGACAAATTATTAAGCGAGATATTATTTCCCTCTGTTGTAGCTCGCACGGGAGGGTGCGATTTTTCTCTATATACCGTATATAAAAATAATAAAAGTGAATTGCCGTGACACCGTTCACACGATCGCCATGAAACTTTGGGAAGATGTTGAGAATACTCCTAGGGAGGTTTCTGCGCTAAAAACATTTTCAAATTCGCAGGGGTGGCGCCCCGGCAGGGCGCGATTTGTTTTTTTCTCTATATACGGTTTATAAAAATAAAATTCTATTTCGATTTCACACCGTTCATTCATGTACCATGAAACTTTGGGGAGATTATTAGATCACTCAATGGTAGGGTTCTGCAAAAAAATATTTTTTAATATTGCAAGGGCGGTGCCCCCCCCCCCGGGGGGGGGGGGGAGAGCGATTAGATGAGAATACTCCCGAGAATATTTCTGCGAAAAAGAAAACTAAAGTTTCTTATGGGCGGCGCCATGTAGGGTACAATTTTCGTCAATACACGGTTTGGCGCCCAGAGTTTTAGAGCGATTATGTTGGCATTTGGCATCCGTTAATCGAGCGTCCTGCATAGCGAGTAAGGGGTACTACAACAACAACAGGCTTCTAAAAAATAACTATGTAACGCGAGGAAATCCTGTACAGTTTCGTCACCTTGCGAAAGATGAAAAAATAACTTTTTGAATATGAGGAGCCTACTGTAGAGTTTCGTCACCTTGCGAATGATGCAATAAGCATCTATTATTAAACGATCCAGTCAGAAATTGAGATCGAGCATCTAATAATAGACCATTAGTAACGCTAGCATATTGCATCAGTCACACTGATGTTTAAAACATGTCGAATAATTTTTTTACGTGTTAAAGAAAAAATTCTGCATCATTATTAACAGGATGCTATTGGCACGCTGGGTTATCCTATGAGCACGATGGCGCCTGTTAGTTTTAAGGAGCCAGGGGCCGTACGCTGCGCCTATGCGGTAGAGTAATCGGGGGGGGGGGGGAGGGCTCCTGAGAGCGCCCCTCTACGTCTCTGACACATGGGTGGTCACCGAAGTGTGTTCTACCTCATTATTTCGGTGAGTGATTAATGTGCACTCAAGGTTTTCATGAGGTAGTGTAGGAAAACCCGTGTCCCGATAATTATTATCCAAGCGCAAGCATTGTTTACATTTAAATAACACAGTTTTAGAAAAGAGGACACGCGTTTAAGAACATATGATTGGTAATGCATTGGCGATATCCTTCTAATATATTTTGTCAGACTTTCTTCTATCCCCGCGGCAACGCGCGGGGGTCGGGTACGCTAGTTATAATATAAAATATACTAGACTACCCTTTATCCTTGGTTAACTGTGGGCTTCGAGTGTCATTTATAAAGGACATTACGTTTATTTGACGATTTTTATCTTTCCCCTCCCCTCCCTTCTTTCACACATCTTCACAAGTTAGTAAATGTTCGTTATGACATTTCTCTACATTAGTTTGTGTTTTGGTATGTTAAACGTGGTTCGTGATGAAATCAATTTTTTTATATAAATGTTAACCGCTGAACCGTGCGATTCCGTGTTACTGAAAAACTTGCTCTTAAGATTAAACGTGTTTTCAAACAGGCTATCACTAGATACGTCAGTGAATCAAACGATTGGTCAAGTTCTGACCTTGACAGTCTAGATAATGAGAGGAAAAAGTGTATTATGTCCTGTTTAGGTTTCTAGTGGCTTTTTCCGTAAGGGCTTTGTCCGTTGGTGTTTGACCACAGGAGCTTTGTCCACATGTATTTTTTTATAAAAAATAATAATAAATTGTTATTTAGTTTAAATTCAAGGTACAATTAATACCATTTTATACGATAAGTTACCTTTTAGAAAACAAAATTGCATTGCCCATACCGGATCGCCGACACTCCAAAATTTAATTTTTTTTTTGTTGCAGAAATCTTTCCCTGAATATTCTCCATAAAGTTTCATGGTGATCGGATGAAAGGTGTAGTAATACCAGCGATCCAGCCAGCCGCAGACGTTTTACAGCTCTCTGAGTCGGAAAATCATAGTTTTGCAATTTTGTCCGTATGTCTCTGTGTGTATGTATAAATGTGTGTATGTAGGTCTGGGAACAGGATAATTCGAGTACTGTTGCAGCTAGATTGATGAAATTTAATATATAAATTTTATATCAAATGTGTAGTTCTGTATTACTTTTTCAGCGATTTCCTGTAAACGGAAGAGGAATTAATTCTACTTTTGGTTTTTCAAAAGCCTATAATTTGAGTATAGAGGTTCTATATTTAAAAAAAAAAAGTGTAACTGTCCCTTAACAATTATATCAATCACTGAGAAATTAATAATTAATAATTACGTTTAATGATTTAATTATTAAACGAATTGAATTATTTCCGTTTTGATAAACTCTCTCTCTCTCTCTCTCTCTCTCTTTATAACTAATAACGCCGTATCATTGAGTTTCTCAAGAGAAATATCCAAGGGAGCGGTAGTTATCATTGACTCTGTCATGGATAATTTCATTGAGTCTGACATAGAAAAAAGTGTTTGATCTGCCAGACTTTTATATATTAGGATTCGAGAAGTTAAGGGAAATCACTCTCGCTTTATTATATGTAGACCAATTTTCCACTCAATTGTGCATAAAATTTTACTTTGTTTAATGAGCAGATTATTTTTTTTTGTCTACTCAATTCAATTAAAAAAACAAACAAATTTAAATAGTGTTTCTTCTAGATTTTTTGTCTCGGGGGGGGGGGGGGGGGGGCACTTGAAATTTTCGAGGGGGGGGGGGGCGGTAAACTTTCTTCGCGGAGGGGGGGGGGGCGGACACTGTTAAAAGTATATATTTTCTATTTAAATTATATAAATTTCATTTCGTTCGGGGGGAGGGGGGGTGGGGGGGGGGTAAAGCCCCCCCCCGAAAGGGTGCCTGTAGGAAACTCTGAATTTAAGTATTAAAAAAACCATTTCTATTGCACGATTGCACTGCAAGTGCCATCTCCCGTAAAGCATAGAAGAATATACGAGTCAGATTATGGTAATTACTCCCGCTTTATTGAATTTCATGTTAGGTTTAACAAAATTGTCCAAAATATTTCAAATGTGATAGAATTGTCCAAAATATTTCAAATGTGATAGAATTGTCTAAAATATTTCAAATTTTATAAATTTGACCAAAAACATGGAGCTTTTTTTTAGGATTAGATGATCAGTTAAAATAGAGAGAAAAAACCCTGTCGACAGTGGAAAGGGCACCTTCAGACCAGCCCACGCGATAACCTTTGGTGTAATCTGCCCCAACCACAAACACGTCGTCAGTCAGTGACGGGTGTTGAACGGTTGAGATGACGTCATCATACCTATATCCTGCTCTCCAAACGACAAAGCCACAACCAAAAGGATAAGACACCCAGAACTGAGACAGTGACGTCAGAGGCGCTGGGATCTGGTCTCTCTTCATGCCGTAGGCTTTGGCCAGGTCGGTGAGAAGTTGCTCGGCCATTGGTGTCTTGACCCGCTGTGCGCCAGGGGCCGAGCCTGCTAGAAGATTCCCCTTAGTGTTGAGAGCTAGCAGCCTGCTCGATTTACTGTCGTCAGCGTAACTTGCCAGCAGAGCGTAGACTCCAGTTACGTTGGATCTCCCGAAGTCGTAGGCTTGACTGAATGCCTGGTCAGAAAACATGACGGAGCTGGCGTGGGGTGCACTCTCCAGCCACCAGGGTCGCGAGAACGTCATGAAGACTTTGCTGACCGGAACTTCCCTGACTGCGTTGATGGCGTCATCGACTCTCTTGTCTCTGGAGAAAAAAATTTGACGGTGAACTTTAGAATCTACTTTACCTAGGGGTCATTGTGAGAAAGTTAGACTTAGAATCTAACTTTACCTAGGGGTAATTGTGAGAAAGTTAGACTTAGAATCTACTTTAACTAGTGGTGATTGTAAGTCAAATCCAGACGTAACTGTATAACCTACGTCATTTAAATTTGTGTCTAGAATGTGTTTCATAGGCCGATAGGGCACATGATTATAATATTTGTATTGGAATCATTTTGTGTTCCTACGATTTTTTAATATTTTTAATTCTGCACAAAAACTATTTGAGTGGAACCCAACCCATTTTTACCTGAATGGACCCCAATCAATTTTTAACTGAAAGGACCCCATCCATTTTTATCTGAGCGGACTCCAATCCATTTTAGTTGAATGGACCCCAATCCATTTTTACCTGAATGGATCCCAATCTATTTTTACCTGAGAGGGCTCCAATCAATTTTTTTTAAAGCAAATTTCGGTACAGCTAAAATCACTTTCCCGGCACAAACAAGATCTCTGCCAAGCTGAAAGACATTTATGTTGATTATGTTTCATGTTATGTTGATTATATTTCAAGTTATGTTGATTATAATTCAAGTTATGTTGATTATGTTTCAAGTTATGTTGATTATGTTTCAAGTTATGTTGATTATGTTTCAAGTTATGTTGATTATGTTTCATGTTATGTTGATTAAATTTCAAGTTATGTTGATTATATTTCAAGTTATGTTGATTATGTTTCAAGTTATGTTGATTATGTTTCAAGTTATGTTGATTATGTTTCAAGTTATGTTGATTATGTTTCAAGGTATGTTGATTATGTTTCAAGTTTTGTTGATTATGTTTCAAGTTATGTTGATTATGTTTCAAGTTATGTTGATTATGTTTCAAATTATGTTGATTATGTTTCATGTTATGTTGATTATATTTCAAGTTATGTTGATTATAATTCAAGTTATGTTGATTATGTTTCAAGTTATGTTGATTATGTTTCACGTTATGTTGATTATGTTTCAAGTTATGTTGATTATGTTTCAATTTATGTTGATTATGTTTCAAATTATGTTGATTATGTTTCAAGTTATGTTGATTATGTTTCAAGGTATGTTGATTATGTTTCAAGTTTTGTTGATTATGTTTCAAGCTATGTTGATTATGTTTCAAGTTATGATAAGCTGGCTGTAGAGCTAAGGGGTAAGGTCTAGCCTTTTAACGACTAGAATAATAAATTATTCGCGTTAAAATTATCCTCGCCCTCTACTAAAATTGTTCACCCCCCCCCACACGCTCGGGCAAACGTTAAACAGGTGAACATACATGAAGGAAATCGACTTTCGGGCAGGTGTGCGGCGGCTGAGGCCGAGCCTTTGGGCCAAACAAGCAATCAACAGGGGTACATGAGTATTTTTAGCTCTTAGTTTATGTTCAGATGATGATAAGGCAAGATGTCTTGTGGGTAAATATGGTCAAGTATCTGATAACAATGCACTGACCATTTCAAACGTGTAGCCATTCTGTGTGTTTGTGTGCACAAGTTCAAGGACGTAGCTGTCTTGCCATTTCCTGATTGACACCAGACGTCTGTTGAGGTTTAGCTTGTGTCTGGAATATTCAGAGAACTTTTTGTGTTTAGTGTCAGTTGGATTTGAATTTTATCAATCAGCTTTTTCATTCATGCAGTAGTAAAATTAGCTTTTTCATTCATACAGTAGTAAAATCAGCTTTTTTTTCATTCATTCAATAGTAAAATCAGCTTTTTTTATTCATTCAATAGTAAAATCAGCTTTTTCATTCATTAAATAGTAAAATTAGCTTTTTTATTCATTTTATAGTAAAATTAGCTTTTACATTCATTCAATAGTAAAATTAGCTTTTTCATTCATTCAATAGTAAAATCAGCTTTTTCCATTATTCAATAGTAAAATCAGATTTTTTCATTCATACAGTAGTAAAATCAGCTCTTTCATTCATTCATTAGTAAAATCAGCTTTTTCATTCATTCAATAGTAAAATCAGCTTTTTCATTTATTCAATAGTAATATCAGCTTTTTCATTCATACAGTAGTAAAATCAGCTCTTTCATTCATTCATTAGTAAAATCAGCCTTTCCATTCATTCAATAGTAAAATTTGTTGTTTCATTCATTCAATAGTAAAATTAGCTTTTTCATTCATTCAATAGTATAATTAGTTGTTAATTAAGGCTAGGACTTGACCTAAGTGCCTGCAGTGGGGTGGGGTTGTGATGGTCTGAGAATTGTCTCACACATAGGAGAGTTGCACAGGCTATAAATAGATCACAGGTCAATGACTTTGAAACAGCTACATCTAATTCCAACGTCTTCAATTCGAGAAAACTGACCCTTTGTTAGCCTGGAGAAACTTGTCGATAAGCTTGACCGGTATGGCGTTCATGCCCTCTTTAATCGTCTGCACCACGAAGTCACCACTGTTGGGTAGAACAATGATAAACACGTCAGTCTGTCGGTGTGTTAGTCACTGTGTATGTGGGTCGGTCTTTGTGTCAGTGGGTCGGTCTCTTTGTTTGTCGACCAGACTGTCTCGGTCGATCGGTCGAAGAAAAGCAGTCGTTAGCTGACCTATCAGGGCCCAGGTTATTCTCAAAAATTGGAAGCGGGGACGTGTCGGGGGCACCGACAAACTCAAAGCGTGCGATAGCCCGCAGAAAAGCTTTCCCTTCTGATGTCGCCACGGTGTCAAAAGCTTCGTCGAATCTGAAAGAGAACGCATGTTTTAATCCTAATATGACTTTATATTTTGATCGATTCATCTGGCTTTATATCCTAATCGAGTTAATCTGACTTTAAATCCTGAGCTGTAATTCTGACTTTATATTCTGGTTAATTAATCTGACTTTATATTCTGGTCAATTAATCTGACTTTATATTTTGGTAAATTAATCTGACTTTATATTCTGGTTAATTAATCTGACTTTATATTCTGGTCAATTAATCTGACTTTATATTCTGGTTAATTAATCTGACTTTATATTCTGGTTAATTATTTGACTTTATATTCTGGTTAATTAATCTGACTTTATATTCTGGTTAATTAATCTGACTTTATATTCTGGTTAATTAATTTGACTTTATATTCTGGTTAATTAATCTGACTTTATATTCTGGTTAATTAATCTGATTTTATATTCTGGTTAATTAATTTGACTTTATATTCTGGTTAATTAATCTGACTTTATATTCTGGTTAATTAATCTGACTTTATATTCTGGTTAATTAATCTGACTTTATATTCTAGTTAATTAATCTGACTTTATATTCTGGTAAATTAATCTGACTTTATATTTGTGATAGATTGGAATCACTGACGAGCAGCCACATTGGTTGTTAACAGTCGTTTATTCACACCATGAGGAAAGAGATGGAGGGCGGAAGTCACGAGAGACTTATATACATAATATGTAAGGGACATCACTCAAGATAACAATATAAATATAATACTAATACAGAAGAGTGAGTTCCCTTGACCTCACAATTATCTCAATCTATTACATCCCTTTACCCTTAGAACACAATAACACATCTCTCAATAGAACAATTGATAGTATCCTAAAATCACCAATGAGAAATTATATTGTAACATGAACACTATGGTAGATTACATCCTTACAAACAATGCACAATATGTTACAACACAATTAAAATACAAACAATGATGTCAAAGTCCTTTTGACCTTTAAAATCATAGGTCTAACTTATTTGGGACTTTGATTGTCCTGTTTGACCTTCTCAGTGGCTTTTGATTTGGTGACTCAATATTCTGACCATTTGGATTCTCTATCTCAGGAGGTCTAGGATTTAAATCATTAACTCCAGAATTTACATTTTCTGACTCCAGACAACTTGGTTCACTCATATCAACAGAACTTGGTTGTGGAACAAACTGAGTTGGTGTGAACTGATCAGATTTGGTGGGATTGATAGATTCACACTTATTATCTGCACAAGTTATTTTTAACTGGTCTGCATGTCTACGGACAATAAGTCCATCATTTGTTTTTACTTTATAAGACACAGGTCCTGTACATTGAACAATTTGACCTGGTATCCATTTTTCCTTTCTCCCATAATTTCTTAGATACACATTATCATTAACTGCAAATTCTCTTTCAATGAATGTTTGTCATGATTTACTTTTGTGTATGTTGATGTTGGGAAACAGACCTTTGAACAGTTGGATGTAGTAGGTCAAGATGAGTTTTAATTTTCCTACCACATAGCAATTCACATGGTGCAACATCTGTTGTTATATGAGGAGTTGTGCGGTATTTGGCTAATAACCTGTTTACTCTTTCATTGTCACATTTAGCTTCTTCTGTTTGGTATTTACTTTTGATGTTACCCTTTTAGTTTCTGTAAGTGCTAATGATGTTAGCAAGGTTGTTTGATGATCACATTCCTTCTTACTTAAAGCATTTGAACTTGCCATATCACCATAATCATTTATTAAGTTACAAATACTTTGTTTAGGCAACTCTGACTGATAATGGACTGCATCTTCTCCATCTTTTATATTATCTTCACAAAGGTTTTTATTTCTTATTTTATATGGCCTTAAGTCATCATTCACAGACTCTTCAGGCCAACCATTCTTACAGTACTCATATACTTTTATCAAGCACTCATCTTTTTGTGTTTCTCTTTTAATATCATTCACATTTATATTGGAGTTATCCATGATAGTGAAGAGAACAAAAACATCTTCTGGTACATAGCTAAGGCTTTGGTTTTTAAAGGTAATCTACTAAGACTATCTGCACTATTCTCAGATCCAGGTTTGTATTTCAATTCATAATTGTATGCAGTTAGTGTGATAGCCCATCTTTGAATTCTTGGTGAGGCATGCTCAGGTAGGGTTTTGTTTTCTCCAAACAAACCTAGCAATGGTTTATGATCTGTAAAGATGGTGAACTTCCTACCAAACAGAAACTTATGAAATTTCTTAACACCAAAAATGATGCCTAAGCCTTCCCTATCTAACTGAGAATAATTTTTCTCAGCCTGGTTCAAAGATCTACTGGCAAAAGCAATGGGTCTGTCACCCTTCTCATCCATGTGGGATAAGACTGCTCCTACACCATCAGGTGAAGCATCACATGTTAATATAAGTCTTTTCCCTGGGTCATAGTGAGTTAGTAAGGTGTCAGAAGACAAAGCCTCTTTTGCTGTATTAAAAGCAGTATCTTGTTGTTTACCCCAGTGCCAAGTTGCATTTTTCTGTAGCAGCTTGTACAGTGGTGATAGTTTACCAGACAGATTCCCTATGAACTTTACATAGTAATTTATCAAGCCCAAAAAAGCTCTTAGTTGTTGGGTATTTTCAGGTTTGGGTGCTTCTTTAATGGCTTTTGTTTTCTCAGGTTGAGGTCTGATGCCTTGTTTGCTCAATATATAACCAAGAAAACTAATTTCTGTCAGCATGAATTGACATTTATCTTTGTTTATCTTTAAACCTTTTTCACCAACTACTTTCAATACTTTATCAAGTGTTTTAAGATGTTCAGTGTCATTCTTACCAGTTATGTACACATTGTCAAAGTACACACAAACATTTGGAATATCCTTAAAAATACTTTCCATGACAGCTTGGAAAATTCCAGGGCTAGATGATATGCCAAAACATAGTCTTTCATAGTCTTGGTGAGAGTTAACATAGTGCTGCTTTTGGTTGCGGTACTGTCTTGACTGGCTAGATTTAGCAACAGACGAAGACTTTGCAAAGCAGGCCTTGGCAATGTGACCTTGCTTACTGCACTTATAACAAGTTGCAGACTTGAACTTGCACCGATGAGATGCATGGGGACCTTTGCATCGATGACATTTTTGATAATTATTACTAGATTTAGATCTAGGATTTAAACGTGCAGGCTGTTTAGCATAAGTTGGAATGCTCTGATGGGGTTGGTGTTTGTTGACTAACCTGCTGTTTACTGCATGGATCTCTGAAGGTGCTAGAGATTTTGCCGCATCTGATGACTGCTGGAATGAAGTTGCTAGTTGTATTGCTTTTTCTAATGTTAGATCTGACTCGAGCAGCAACTTTCTTTGAATATCACGGCTGTTTACACCTGTCACAAACTTTTCACATAGTCTGTCAGACAGCGTATCGCCGAATTCACAAAATCTACTTAGATGACGTAAAGCAGCAACATATTCTGATATTGACTCGTTTGGTTGACGAGTCCTACTGTCAAATCTAGCTCGACATAGGAACTTTGATGGGGTAGGCGCATGGTGGTCTGTTAGCAATTTGCTCAGCTCGTTAAAGCTCTTGGTAGTTAGACTAGCTGGTGCGCATAAGTCCTTTAGTAGCCTAAATTGTTGAGGCCCTATGACTGTTAACAAAACAGCTCTCTTTTTGGCTTCTATCGTCACGTCGTTTGCTTCAAGGTAAAAGCTTAACCTATCTAGATAATCATGAATGATTTCATCATTCGAATCAAATTCTTTTATTTGGCCATACAGCGCCATTATTCTAGAAATACTTAGCTAATATGCTCTAGCAAACCTCTTTTTGAATAATTAGGTGCTCTTTCTAGTGGATTATCCCATCCTCGTCGCCAATGTGATAGATTGGAATCACTGACGAGGAGCCACATTGGTTGTTAACAGTCGTTTATTCACACCATGAGGAAAGAGAGGGAGGGCGGAAGTCACGAGAGACTTATATACATAACATGTAAGGGACATCACTCAAGATAACAATATAATTAATCTGACTATGGGGTTGGTGTGGCCAGGACGGTAAAGTTAATGTTTACTAAACCAAAAAGTCTCGAGTTACAACCCCCGGCAGTTGAGGCTCGGTAGCTAGAGATAGTACCCCATCTGGGAGAGACACTTCCAAATAAAAAAAACACTTGACTTGTAGTTCGGTCTTGGATGGACAAAGCAGGCTGAAACCGGAGCCAATGGCCTATGTGGCGCATTTCAAGTTGACACGTAATCAGTGTTTCTACCAGACTTTTTTTCTCCGGGGGGGGGGGGGGGCACTTGAAATTTTCGGGAAGGGGGGAGGGCGGACTAAAATTTCCTAGAGGGGGTTGGTCACTGTTAAAAGTATACATTTTCTATATGAATTCCATTTCGTTCGTGGGAAGGGGTGGGGGTGGGAGGGGGGGGGGGGAAGCGGTAGACTTTCTTCGGGGGGACAGAGACCCCCCCAAAGAAATGCCTGGAAGAAACGCTGCACGTAATACTTAATTGTACAATCAAGAACGAAGAAGAAGAAAATAAATCTGACTATATTTTATAAGGATCAATTGACACAAATCCTAATAAAATAATCATAACTTCGGGTAAGATTGAAATTATTGTCCATTTGGAGGACAATTGATCAACTCGACACAATGGTAATAGTTCAAGTAAGTGGTCACTCTCTGTGTATTAGCTTTCATGTATCTGCCCTCTGCCCATGTATCTGCCCTCTGCCCATGTATCTGTCCCCTGTCTATGTGTCTGCCCTCTGTCCAGGTGTCTATCTGCTGCCCATGTAGCCAGCAACTAGCTACTCACGGTACTTTGTACATGTAGCGACCGTCCGCGAGTTTAAGTTGCATTAGAATGTCTTGCGTCACCTGTGTGCCGTTGTACCCAGTCATCTTCTCCAGGTAGTATCTGTGGTACAACAGAGTACAGTTAGTGGACATGTGGGATGGTTATATATATATATATATATATATATATATATATATATATATATATATATATATATATATATATATATATATATATATATATCCCTCTCTCTCTCTCTCTCTCTCTCTCTCTCTCTCTCTCTCTCTCTATATATATATATATATATATATATATATATATATATATATATATATATATATAAATATATATATATATATATATATATATATATATATATATATATATATATATATATATATATATATATATATATATATATATATATATATATATAATATAAGCGGGCTGAGCGTGTGTCAGTCTTTCTGTCATCGCTATAGATTTTGAAACCATATAAGTAAACATCGCACCATACTGTGCTTTTCAGTGCACTGCAGTGTCTTATTATAAGAAATAGAGTAGGGTTTGTTTATATAACGGCACAGAGCTATTTTAAAATTGCCACCGTTTTTACTTTTTTGCATAACGTAAAGAAAATATTAAATACACGCACATTGCTAAAGCATATTAAAAGGATCAATGTCAAATATCATTTTCGTTTATATTCCTAGAAAAAATGGATACATTTTCATAACATAATAACAGTAGGGTAGAAAAATCTAATTAAACTGTTTAGTAATTTTGCCAAAGGAGGTAATTTAAAAATAAATTGAACTCGCGCTAAAAATGTGAATGCAAAATCTGCAAGACGGAATAATTGTTGGAATAATATAATTAGCAAAATGTGAATGCAAATTATGCAGACGTGTAAGAGTACATTATGTTGGAATATTATAATTAGCATTGATTGATAAAAGGCTATATTTTATTTATTTTATTCACTGAATGTACTATTTACTAATTAAAATTTTTAATCAACTATTCTCGAATTATTATATTAAGTCATCACGTTCATTAGGTGCGCAATGATTTTAGTCTTGAAACTTTATTGTAAATTTTAAAAAGTACTGAAAAAAATGCATGAATTTATAAAGTGCAATATGGTCGGTAAAACACGGATATTCTAAATACTGCGTTTAATTTATTTTATACACTATACGTATTGTTTACTAATTATTATTTTATCTTTTGGTTTCCGGACAAGCTAGGGGTTTTATAGCAGAGGCGTAGCAGGGGGGGGGGCATTTGTCCCCGGGCGCCGACCTTAGGGGGCGCCTAAATGGGCTGGAAATACAAATTGAAAAGTTGCGGGGGGGGGGGGGGGGGGAGGGGGTGCAAATCGAAAGTTTGAGGGGGCGGGGTGGAGATTGAAAGTTTGAGTTTGTCCCCGGGCGCGGAAAGGGTCGCTACGCCTTATTCACGGAGTCAGACGCGTCCGCCGGCGCTCGGAAAGGGCACGATTTGGCGCTACGGGCTCGACTGTGAGCAATATGCCTTGATGATTGCATTTAAATTGTTTTTATGGTATGAGTGTTGTGGTTTTTTTTTCGTTTGTGATTTTTTTTTTTGCGTTCATTTGTGTTGTGTTTAGTTTTGTTCTATTCCCAAGTTGGTACATTTAAAAAAAGATTTACCGTGGCGGAGCACGGGATGCAGCTAGTATATATATATATGTGTGTGTATGTGAAAACTTTATAAAGTTGTTGAGAATGCTCCTATGATTGCATAGAAGTAATAGTAACACAGAAATAGGCTTAAGATAATTTCTGGCCTGAAATTAGTGAGTTTTAAAAACCTTATTTACGCCCAACAAAAATTGTGAAAAGTTAAACTTCATATTAGCTGGCTTGTCGGTCGGTCAAAAGAGTATGAACCACGGAAGCTTGATATCTGTAGTGATTTCCCTTGTTCGTTTCAATCCTGTTTCTTTTAATATTTCTTTTTTGCACTTATATTATTAATTTTCAATAAATACATTTTTTTTTGTGGCTCAATTTAAAGATAATTAAGAGAAGAAATCGCTTTGTAATTTGCTTAAATCAAAATCGACTTTTAATATACCGTATACAGAGAAAAAGCAAATTGCGCCCTGCCGGGGCGCCACCCCTGCGAATTTGAAATTTTTTTTTCGGAGAAACTTTCCCAGTAATATTCTCAGCAACTTCCTAATGTTTCACGGCGATGTGATGAGAGGTGTAGTAATGCATAAAAGACAGACACACACAGAGACATACATTGCTTTATACATATATATATATATGAAATGAGCTTTTTGTGCATGGAAGTGGTTTGAAGGTTTGCCTATATTTTACACTACAGCTAGTGTAGGGTTTTTACCTGTTTAACAGTCTGTTTTAGTTAATGTAGAACAATCATCGCTGTAGTGGACATTTTTTTTTTTTACAAAACCATTAGATATCAAGGTGCAAGAAAAAAAAACACATTTTGGTCGGATTTTCGGGCCCCTAAAAGGCCCGCCCGTCTAGTAGTTCCGGTTCCCAGAAAGAACCGCAACGGAAAAAAAGCGCAACGGAAAAAAGAGCAAAACAAAAAGCACAACGGAAAAAAGCGCAAAGAGAAAAAAGCGCAGACAGAAAAAAGCGCACACAGAAAAAAGCGCAAACGGAAAAAAGTGCAAATAGAAAAATGCGCACACGGAAAAAAGCTCAAAGAGAAAAAAGCGCAAACAGAAAAAAGCGCAAAGAGAAAAAAGCGCACACAGAAAAAAGCGCAAACAGAAAAAAGCGCAAACGGAAAAAAGGCGCAAAGAGAAAAAAGCGCAAACGGAAAAAGCGCAAACAGAAAAAAGCGAACAAGGAAAAAAGCGCAAACGGAAAATAAGCGCAAACGGAAAAAAGCGCAAACGGAAAATGCGCAAACGGAAAAAGCGCAAAAGGAAAAAAGCGCACACAGAAAAAAGCGCAAACAGAAAAAAGCGCAAACGGAAAAAAGCGCAAACGGAAAAAAGCGCACACAGAAAAAAGCGCAAACGGAAAAAAGCGCAAACAGAAACAGAAAAATGCGCAACCAGAAAAAACACAACGAAAAATGTGCAAAAGAGAAATTTAGCACAAAGACCATATGGACTAGATGACACATTTATACATGACTGTTAGGGCTGCTGTGAGAGTGTCGTGTAATGTCGATAGTTTTATGTTTATACGAGAATAGTAGTTGAGTAATTATTGACCAAGTAAATAATAGGCATTGTGTAAAGTGATTATCGCCTGTATCGTGGTGATGGGAATGCAGATGGTAGTGGTACGCTTTAAATGGTAGTAGATCACGTGATCAAACACGACACTCTCACAGCAGCCCTAACAGTCATGTATAAATGTGTCATCTAGTCCATATGGTCTATGTGCTAAATTTCTCTTTTGCACATTTTTAGTTGTGTTTTTTCTGGTTGCGTATTTTTCTGTTTGCGCTTTTTTCTGTTTGCGCTTTTTTCTGTGTGCGCTTTTTTTGTTTGCGCTTTTTTCCGTTTGCGCTTTTTCCGTTTGCGCTTTTTTCTGTGCGCTTTTTTCTGTTTGCGCTTTTTTCCGTTTGCGCTTTTTTCTGTTTGCGCTTTTTTCCGTTTGCGCTTATTTTCCGTTTGCGCTTTTTTCCTTGTGCGCTTTTTTTCTGTTTGCGCTTTTTTCCGTTTGTGCTTTTTTCTCTTTGCGCTTTTTTCCGTTTGCGCTTTTTTCTCTTTGCGCTTTTTTCGGTTTGCGCTTTTTTCTGTTTGCGCTTTTTTCTGTGTGCGCTTTTTTCACTTTGCGCTTTTTTCTGTTTGCGCTTTTTTCTCTTTGCGCTTTTTTCTGTGTGCGATTTTTTCTCTTTGCGCTTTTTTCCGTGTGCGCATTTTTCTCTTTGCGCTTTTTTCCGTTTGCGCTTTTTTCTGTTTGCGCTTTTTCCGTTTGCGCTTTTTTCTATTTGCGCTTTTTTCCGTTTGCGCTTTTTTCTGTTTGCGCTTTTTTCTGTGTGCGCTTTTTTCACTTTGCGCTTTTTTCTGTTTGCGCTTTTTTCTCTTTGCGCTTTTTTCTGTGTACGCTTTTTTCTCTTTGCGCTTTTTTCCGTTTGCGCTTTTTTCTGTTTGCGCTTTTTTCTGTGTGCGCTTTTTTCTCTTTGCGCTTTTTTCCGTGTGCGCTTTTTTCCGTTGCGCTTTTTGTTTTGCGCTTTTTTCCGTTGCGCTTTTTTCCGTTGCGGTTCTTTCCGGCCACCAGTAGTTCCGCCCCTGCTGTTTTATATATTTACTAGGCATACTGCCAAGCGTCGCTTAGGTTTTCAAAAACATTTGAGAATTTGAATACTTAATTATTTAGTGACGGCTGAGGTATGGAGTGCTTAAATTTAAACAGTAATGCTAATTTTGGAGAAAATGTTGTTGTTCTTTGTTTTCAAAAGTCCATTTTCAAAAAATATTGGAAAGTTCGAAATGTATGACTAAAATGGAATTAGAACTACAGAGGTTCCATGAACAGTATATCGCATAATTTATATTACATTGACTTTTAAAATTTATTAACTTATTTAATTAGGATACGTACCTTAATAAACAACTTAATTTGTTACTGAAACAAATGCTATACTTCGTTATTTTCTGTTTATGTTTAAAATAGTATAAAAATGTTTGAAAAATAATTATTTTTAAAAAGTTACCTCCCTTGAAAAATGAACGAATGAAGTATGTCTTTGTTTACTTTTTTTTTTTACAAACAATTTTTTATAAGAAAAAACATCATCTGGACAAATCTAACGTCCCAAATGGTTTTTTTCGACGGGAATAATGTTTTTTTGTTATCCTCCGGGGTCGGTTTACGACCTCACAAAATATTAGGGAGATCGTTCGTCAATTTGTTTATACATATCTTATATAATGAGATCTTCACTCGCGGTCACTTTTTAGCCCTCGTCGAGTGCTTTGAGTCTGACCAACAGTTTTTTCATACGGCCTAGTCATCTATAGAGGTGCATGCAAAAGAAATGGCCAGATAAATAGAGGTTGAGTATCCTAAAATTTATGTTGAAAATACCCTATTTTTCCCATAAAATACAAAGATTATATAGGGAAATAAGACTGGTAAGTTTTGACCCATTTCCCGATTTTTCTCGGACATGCGAGTTTTTTGTGACACCCTAAGGCGTTCTCCTACCACCTCACAAAATTGCAAGGGGGGTCGTCGGGCAAATGTTTTTTTTTCGTAATAGAGCCCATATAAGGCGCCGGTCAGTCGAGGTCAGTTTTGACCCCCTCTACGCGGACTTGTTGGCCAACCGGCACCGGCTCTCGTGTTCTATCGCCCCAAGGCAGACTCATGCAAAATTTGAAGCGCCTGCGGCACTTGATCACTTTGCTTTATATATATAGATTACAAGCAAAGTGGTCAGATACCGGATAGGGTACTCCCTGGCACCGCATGCGATCAAAATTTGACAGGCTCCTGCCTCGTGCCGACAGAACTCGGGGACCGATACCGATCGCCACAAAGTCCACTAAGAGGGGGGTCAAAACTTACCTCGACTGACCGGCGCCTTATATGAGCTATATATTGAATAAAAATGCTCACATAGGAACCCCATCATAACTCCTTAGGTTGTGGACCGACCCTCGGGAGTAACAAAAAAATCTATGATATCTTCGGGAAAAATTCGAAAGGCCTTTAGAAGTGACCAGTCCGTATATCCATATATAAACATTGTTCATTTGGTGAAAAACGATGACTATTTTCAAAACCATTTTAGGGTATTTTGGCTTTGTACATCTGGTTCATTTTTTCCGTAGAACTGGGAAAATGAATTGGCCTTCTCAGGGGTGGATTAAGCTCGAGCTGGGCTCCCGGCTATAATATATATATATATATATATATATATATATATATATATATATATATATATATATATATATATATATATATATATATATATATATATATATATATATATATATATATATACCTAAAAGGACGGGGCACCTGATTCTACATGTTTTTGTCTTTTAAAAACATCGCTTTCTCTCTACACTATTTTCAGAGTTCGAATCTCATAGAATAATAAATAAATAATACATGAAAGCGAACGTCTAAATAATACCAATTTTGCTAGTTATGACGCCAATTGCCTGAATGTATATGTTAAGGTTGCTGTGACCGACCCCACCCGACATACCTAAACAAACGCCCCTGGTTCGCCTTTTCCTCAGGACTCAGGTTGTAGGGCACGTCGCCGCCGCTGACCTGTGCTGAGGTCAGAGTTCTCCCTCTCAGGTAATAGAGGGCATTGGCTGAATTCCCGTGATTTAAGGTAAACGGTTCCTTTGTCAGTCCTGTTAAAGAAAGTTACATGATACATTTTGTCTGGGTAACAAGCAACAGCAGCCGGAACAGCAGTAGCAACAGCAACACCACTACAGCAGGAACAGCAACAGCAGGGCTAGCTCAAATCAAATCTTACCCAGTGCCTTAGACAGCTCCTCGACTCTGACGTGAACTTCAGGTATGAACCTCATCCCCCCTGCCTCCAGCAGGAGACCTGGGGCGTTGGGCAGGGTTGTCGTGTACAGCCTCCCGCCCACACGGTTGGAGAATTCGAAGACTTCAACAGCTTTTTTAGCGTCGCGAAGTTTGTAGGCTGAATAGGCCCCGCTGGGCCCCGCCCCTATGATGGCCACATCCACGGTCCGCGAGCAGCCATCTTGTAAAACATAGTTTGAGGAAAAGAGTTTCCATCGTCAATTAATTTTAACCTCTAACCCTTACATCGGACTAACCATGTGTACACATCTGTGTATGTGTTTGCGTACAAGTTCATGGGTAAGAGCGTGCGAAAGTGGGCTTCTGTATACATGTGCGTGTATTTCAACTTACTTTGACGAGAATGGTCAGCAGACGACAGAGTCACAAACAGTAGCAGGAACACCCACGAGCTCATGATGTCATCACACACTAAAAATAGAACCATCTTCTTTCTTACAACTAAGCAAAAATGCACAAGGTAAAGTACCACTTCCAGTTACCGAAAAGCGTTCATATTTTAATAGAAGCATGCGCATACAATGTATTATTTATTTCTAAAATTTCGTCTACCTAGCTTGAACAAAACTCAATCTATTGGATTTTCAGAAACCGGAAGTTGAATACCGGGAATTGTTCAAAAGTTGATAAAGAACTTTAAATTTGATAAAACACCTATACATGATATTTAGAGAACATAAACGAAACGGTAAGCAAGTTATCGTGTTCACATACATACAGTTACACAGACATATTTGCAAAACTAATTTTTTTCCAAGTCAGGGAAGTCTAAAACTTCGAGCTTTGTAAACATCTATATTTCAATTTTTTTGCAAACTTTTCAATTCTTCAATTCTACTTTATATACGAGAAAGTAAACACGTAATTTACGCAAAAGTTTAGGGGAGATCACTCCTGTTTTTTTAAATTTTATTTTGACAAAATGTTATGTTATATATGCCACTGACTTCAGTTGAAAAAATGTAATGCTATATCATGTCAGAGGTTCTTAAACAATCATGCTGTTAATACCAGATCAACCATGGGTCAAAGACAGTAAAACGAATGACGAATGTCAAAGGTCATAACTAATAATAAATAATGCTCAAGGTCACAACTAATATCAAATGTCACAATATGACAAGAGTCACCATTAATGACAAATATCATAGTTTCACAACTAATGACAAATGCCAAAAAATTACAAATAATGACAAATGTCACAGTGTCAATTAATGACAAATATCAGATGGTCACAACTAATAATAAATGTCACAAAGTCCCAAAAATATTGGTATGCGGTGTTGTGTATGTATTGTTTGGAATGTATTGTTTTTTTTTATATGGCATATGTGTTTGGTGCGGATATTAGATGGCGTTTCGATTGCCGGAGGGGATAGGAAGGTTGTCTGTGTGGTCAGAGCCTAGACTGTCCGAGGCATCGAAGGTACATAATATTCCATCGAACGGTGTGTTTTGCTTTGTATATTTTGTTTTGCCTAGTTTTGTTTCTATTTTTTAAATTTTATATCTTTTCTTAAAAGATTGGTTCAAATTTTGGAAAATACATTTTATTAAATTGTTAAAGTTTTTTGTGTGTTTCTTATCTAGTCTATGGTTTAGATTTAACCACCGTGGGTTTTATCTTGGTTACACTGACCGGACAGTTATTACATACCCTAACCCTAACCCTAACCCTAACCCTAACCCTAACCCTAACCCTAACCCTAACCCTAACCCTAGGTAGATAGTATAGTTACCCCCCCCCCTAGCAAGGCTTACATATATGCAATACAAAAATATGAACATGAGTGTAATTGATGGTTCCTAAACGGCTTTAATTTTTAAAAATTTAAATGTAATTTTAAAGCTTGCCATATTACTTTTTAAAGATTTTTTTTTAGAACTTTAGTATGATTACCTAGACTTTTCAAGCCTTTTAAATCGGCAAAATTTGAGTACAAATTACTATGAGTTTTTTTATGAAGTGAGGTTTTCAGAATATCGATCACGGAGTTCTTGTAAACCCAATCAATGTTTGTCTTACGAAATTAAAACTTCAGGTTATAGGCTAGATAAAAATAAATAGAAATATGCAGCCTTAAACTAAAAAAATATTTTCAAGTTTTCTGGATTTGCAATTTTTATATCATTGATTTTAAAAGTATTTTTCTTTTTTTTTTACGGCCACTTTGATCACACACACACACGCACATGCACGCACACACACACACACACACACACAGTTTTTTATATCCATGTCAACATCAATGATCGACTCCAGCTCATCCAGCTCGGCCGCCTGTATACATTTTAAATAAACCTGGAGTGATCTCCCCTAAACTTTCTCGAATATTCTTATATAAAACAACAGGGGATGGGAACTCCATTTTAAATACTTAAAGTTTTTGAAATAGAATAAAATCTCGTAGAAAAAAGAATTGCACACCAGGTGAACGCCTAATAAAATGTGTATAAATGTGCGGGATATTATTAGTACATTATAAATTTATATGCGTTTTTTAAGAAATCGGAAATAGCGTAAATATGTACTTCCGGTCAACGGAAATTACTCAAAATTTGACAGAAGGTAGAGAATTAGATATTTTACTTACATGTGAAATTTCATGCATCTATCTAAAATAGTACGCAACTTATAGGCTTTTGAAAAATTCATAGTAGAAAAAGTACCACTTCCGGTTATAGGAAATCGCGCAAAAGTTGATCAGGATCTACGATTTTTATAAAATACTTATATATGAAATTTCATCAACCTAGCTGTAACGGTACTCAAGTTATCGTTTTTATTCACAGACAGACAGACAGACACACAGACATACGGACAGAATTGCAAAGTCTAGTTTTTACGACTCGATAACGCATAAAACGCCAAAACGTTGTTATATTTGTATTTATAATTTTTGCCTGATTAAAATAAGTCCTCTATACTCCGGATGTGATGAAGGACTGAAGAGTAAAACGGTGAAAACTGTCAAAATTTTATGTTATTTTTGTGCACGATTACAATACTTTCTCTATACTTCGTATATACGAGAAAGTAAAAAAGGGACGTCAGAAAAGCTTGTAAAATAAAATTTTTGAACACACAATGGACACCAGCGAGAAAAGTCTCAAAGGTATTTGAGAGGTGCATAAATTAATTTAAAAATCTTGCACGGCGTAGTTACAATTAAAATGGTTATAAAATCCTGTCTGTTTTTTTTCGGACTTTACTAAAGATTGGATGTATTTTATGTTTTTAATATTTTCGGTAACTAAATAAATTTTTTTAAAAAGGCAAAAACAATTTGGTTTTCACGTGTAATGGCGACATAAACAATGGCTGCCATAAATTTTATTGTACACATTGTAAGCTAAAAATAGAAAAATGGGTCATGGTGTTAAATTTGCATAGTTATTTAAAAACTTGATCTGCAAAATTTTGTAAACAGATTAACTATGAAGTGGGGCTGTCAGAAATCGATCACGGAGTTCCTTTACAGCCAATCAATGTTTGTCTTACGAAAGTGAAACATCGGGTTATAACTTAGGCTTGATGAAAATAAATAGAAATGTAGCCTTAAACTCAACAAATTATTTTCAAGTATTCTGGATCTGCAACTTGTATAGCATCTATATACTACTAAAAGTCAAGTTTGTTTACATGTTTGAATATTTATTTGTTTTTTTGTTTGTTTGTTTGTTTGCCTGATCGACTATTGTGATATGTTCGACTCAATCTGGATAGCTGTAAAATAGTATGTAGGTAGAGAATATATACTACTAAAAGTCAAGTTTGTTTACATGTTTGAATATTTATTTGTTTTTTTGTTTGTTTGTTTGTTTGCCTGATCGACTATTGTGATATGTTCGACTCAATCTGGATAGCTGTAAAATAGTATGTAGGTAGAGAATAATTTTTTAATGCAGACAGACTGTTAATCACACATTTATTTAAAGACGTTAATTAATTTATTGATTTATTCATACGCAGAATAACCCATTTTTTTAAAAAAGATTAAAACGACCACTACACTCGGCGGGACCGTGACGTCACAGGTTTTTGTTTACTCTTTAGTACAATAAAATGGCGGCGTCTATCGAAGAAAATTGTGTTCCCATTCAAAAGTTTAACGCGTTCTAAATCTAATTTTCTGTCGGTCATAACTTTAACAATACGTCCGTTTGCTGTATTTATTACGTTCCAACACTTATATCAATTTTAAACTGTCTTTTGTCATTTAGTTTTACGATAAATTTCTCTAGATCTACAATCTGTCCAAGAAAATGTTAAAACATTGACTAAACTTTGTGGGAATAGTGACGTCCCTTGATGTGTTTACTTTTTTAGTACAATAAAAATGGCGGACTCCATCATAGACTTTGTGGCCCATTCAAAAGTTTAACGCGTTACAAAGCTAATTTTCTGCCGGCTATAACTTAAACAATACGTCCGTTTGCTGTATTTATTACGTTCCAACACTTATATCAATTTTAAACTGTCTTTTTTCATTAGTTTTACAATAAATTTCTCTAGATCTAAAGATCAGCTGTTGAAGGAAAGTTAATTTAAGTTATGAATCTAGCCTAGATTCTAGACTAGAATCTAGATCTAGCCTAGATCTAGGTCACTAGACTCAATGTACATTCTAGATCTAGACTTAATGTAAATTCTACATCTAGAATCTATTTCAGGCCTTAATTATTTTATATAAATCTTTGTTTAGCTTCAATGATCATCTAATTCGAGAATAAATGGGATTTTTTAAAATCTAGGTTCTATATCTAGATATAGTAGGATTACTAACTAACTTGGAGGCGTGGTCGGCTGCTAACAACAATATGGCGTCCGGACCGGACGAATGACTTCGGACCATTTTTAGGCCATGTTTACCACGAGCAAGATGGCGGGTGTTCACATTATTTAAACATGGTATAGGTGGCCAGGGCTAGATATGCCAGAAAAGCATTTTAAAATTTGCTTTGGAGAGTGAAGGCTAAATTTTAAAGTCAGTGTCATAAAAATTAATAGAACTTTTTTTTTACGTTTTCAATTATTTTTTCTTAAGCCCTATATGTGAATGATAAGGTTGACTATCAGGAACTCGCGGGGCACAGGGCAGGTGAAGTAGGGTTCATCTGTTTCTTTGTCCTAAGCATATGAAGGGATAGTGTGGTCAGAGACATGCTCGGCTGGAATAGTTTTTTAAACGATAAAAACATGTTGTCTGAGACTTGGCGGGACACTGGGCAGGTAAAGTAGAGTTGAGTAGGTCACCTGTGACGTCAGTATATGAAGGGATAGTCCGAAATCGGTGTTTTCGGTGTTTTTAAATGATAAAAAACATCTTTTTGAATGTGGGGTCTGTTTTTTGTGACGATAAGTGACACTGCAGTAGCGTAGCGAGGAGGGGGGGGGGGCGGGTGGGAGGGGAGGCGGGGGGGAGGTGGAGGGGGGGCGGGGGGGGGGGACATATGTTGGGGCGCCAAAATGGTTTGGAAAAATAAATTGAAAGGTTGAGGGGGGTTCAAATCGAAAGTTTGAGTGGGGGGGGGGTGCACATCAAAAGTTTGAGGGAGGGGGGGGGGGGGGGTGAAAATCGAAATCTTTGGGGGGGGGGGGGTTAAAATCGAAAAGTTTGTCCCCGGGTGCCGGGAAGGGTCGCTATGCCTCTGAGTGACAGACGTGATGTTTTTTGATGGATGACCCCCGAAACCCACAGTTATCCAACGGATGACGGGTATTCTAGTTGATTCTAAAAATATTACATTTCTGAATTAATTTTAGGCTTAAGTTTTTAATAAAATTTTATCATTTATTATTTTTATGGTCCTAAATCTAAATAAACCGGGAGTGATCTCCCCTAAACTTTCTCGAATATTCTTATATAAAACAACAGGGGATGATTTTTAATCCATTTTAAATACTTAAAGTTTTAAAAATAGAATAAAATCTCGTAGACGAAAGAATTGCACACAAAGTGAACGCGAAATAAAAAAAAGTGCTTAATAGTGCGCAATATTATTAGTACTTTAAAAATTTACATTAGTTTTTTGAGAAAATCGGAAGTAGCGTAAATTACTACTTCAGGTCAATGGAAATTACCCAAAATTTAACAGAATGTAGAGAATTAGATCTTTTACTTACATGTGAAATTTCATTTATCTATCTGAAATAGTACTCAAGTTATAGGCTTTTGAAAAATTCAAAGTAGGAAAAGTACCACTTCCGGTTATCGGAAATCGCCCAAAAGTTGAAACGGATCTACGATTTTGATAAAATACTTATATATGAAATTTCATCAACTTAGCTGTAACGGTACTCAAGTTATCGTGTTTACACACGGACAGACAGACAGACACACACACAGACACACAGACATACGGACAGAATTGCAAAGCCCAGTTTTTTCAGACTGGATTACGCATTAAACCTCTTAATTTTGATAAATCTGGATTGATAATTTTTGCCCGATTAAAATAAGTCCTCTATACTTCGGATGTGATGAAGGACTGAGGTGTAATACGGTGAAAATTGTTAAAATTTCAAGTGATTTTTGTGCACGATTACAATACTTTCTCTATACTTCGTATATACGAGAAAGTAAAAAGCACATTTTTATTCCATGTCAACAACATTACGGAAGGAATCTCGTCAATTCGCTGGTGTCCATTAGGCCCTACTTGTCATAAATCTTAATTTTTTCTATGGTGAACTAATATTGGTACACAAAACAATTTATTTAATTAAAAAAATTAAAACAACAATTAACCCTAACGATCTTCGTTGGTTGACAACTTACCCTAACGATCTTTGTTGGCTTACAACTTATCCTAATGATCTTTGTTGGTTGACAACTTACCCTAACGATCTTTGTAGGTTGACAACTTACCCTAACGATCTTTGTTGGTTGACAACTTACCCTAACGATCTTTGTTGGCTGACAACTTACCCTAATGATTTTTGTTGGTTGACAACTTACCCTAATGATCTTTGTTGGTTGACAACTTACCCTAACGATCTTTGTTGGCTGACAACTTAACCTAACGATCTTTGTTGGCTGACAACTTACCCTAACGATCTTTGTTGGCTGACAACCTACCTTAACCAACGATCTGTGTCTGTTGGCCGTTGGTATTCTGGCGTCTTTTATAGGTTGTATGGGTGCAGTAGCGTAGCGAGGGGGGGGGGGACATATGTCCCCGGGCGCCGACCATAGGGGGCGCCAAAATGGGTTGGAAAAAAATTGAAAGGTTGAGTGGGGTGCAAATCGAAAGTTTGAGCGGGGCGGGGGGTGGGGGGTGCAAATCGAAATCTCGAGGAGGGGTGCAAATCAAAAGTTTGAGAGGGGGGGAGGGGTGCAAATCGAAAAGTTTGTCCCTGGGCGCCGGGAAGGGTCGCTACGCCTCTGTGTGGGTGTAAGGTTTGCTGTTATTTACGCCACCCCTACAGGAGTTATCTAGTTGTTCAACTTCGCTTTAGTGCAAAACAGGAGCTCTGTAAAGCCGCACAAGTCAATTATCCGAAGTATATGCATTATACATTGCACTACACACGTACGCACACCTACTCACACAGATCCGCAGAATGTACATTATACTTACATACAGATAAACACTTCACAGTCACAGCACACACTCATATAGCTGGTTTTAAAAGTTAATTAATATAAGCATCTGACATAATAAATATCCACATTATACGAATTATTAGTACTAAAAGAAAACAACAACAACAACAAAAAACACAACAACCAAGCCATTATTGTTTGACTGATTTGAAAAATGCTACTTACATATTTCAACAGATGTGCCCTATCATCCATACATATGGTAGGTAAAGTGGAAAAAGCTTTTTCTTCTATGCAGCTACATGAAAGACTTAATTAACAAAATTGATCAATGCTAAATTGATTGCTCTACCTTAATTAACAGACTATTGCATAGACAAAAAAACAACAAGTACGTGGGCTGTAGTGTTAAGATAGGCAAAACTTCAAACCTCTTCCATGACTTATCGCCCCATTTTTAAATAGTCTAATACGGTAGCCAAAATGCTCATTTTAATACTTTTGTACTAAGCTATCTAAAAAGCAATTTTTCTCTTAATTTTTATTAAATCAAAGTATACTAAAGAATGACACACCTGTAAAAAAAATTGGTTCAAAATTATTTTTAAAAATTCATTTAAAAAAAAACAACGTTTTAATAACAAGCTTTTACACTACAATTTAAATAACTATAAAGAAAAGCGTGGGTCACTTTCGTATCTATTGGATACCTTTATTAATATTTAGAAAGAGACCCACGCTTTTCTTTATAGTTATTTAAATAGTAGTGTATAATTTATGTTCTACTTTTTAGTGCATTATTACATAAAAGCTTTTTATTAAAACATTTGTAATGATAATTTTTTCAGAACTTTATGTTTTATTTACACTAGAGTTGGATGACTAAAAACCATTGTGCACCTGTTGAACGTGATGATATGTGCCTAATAGTGCGGAATAGTTTGTTGATGCAGCCTACTAATTTGGACAAAAGTTTTAATTGATTCATAAAAAATTAATTAGGCATCCAATTAAGTCAAACTTAATGCCATAATGCATTGTCTTCATGCCTTGACCAACGTTCCTACTACGAACCGTATCTGTCTGTTAGAAATGTCCGAAATTTCGCTCGGGCGTTTCGATCTAGACAGACAGACTGACAACAGACTGACGACAGACGACAGACAGAGGAAGTGAGTTAATTGTTTTTCATAAAAAACGTTTTAATAGCAAGCTTTTATGTAATAATAAATTATGCACTGCTATTTAAATAACTATAAGGAAAAGCAAGGATCACTTTCGTATCTATTGGATACCTTTACTAATATTTAGAAAGTGACCCACGTTTTTCTTTATAGTTATTTAAATAGTAGTGTAATAATAAAAACTACAGTGATGTGGTTGGATAGAAATTCCTATTAATTTGGTCAAAATTTAATTAATTCATAAAAAATTAATTAGGCATCCAATTAAGTCAAATTTAATTTCAGATTGAATTGTCTTCATGTCTTGACCCACGTGCCAAGTGTGAATCATATCGGTCAAGTAGAAGTGTCCGAATTTTCACTCCGGCGTTTCGGTCTAGACAGAATGACGACTGACGACTGACGAGGAAGTGAGTTAAATAAAAGCTTGTAAAAATTGATTAAAATCCTGTCTATAATCCATTTGCCATCCCACGTGGTGTTATATAAGAATGATCGAGAAAGTTTATGGGAGATCACTTTCATGTTTTTTACTTTCCCGTATACTTATCAGGCCTATAGAGGAAATACAGTTATTGTGTACAAAAATCACATGAAATTTTGACAGTTTTACACCTCAGTAATTCATCAAATACGGAATGTAGCGGACTTATTTTATTCGGGCGAAAATTATAAATCTAGATTTATCAAAATCTCGGCATTTAACGCGTCATTAAATCAGAAAAACTGGGCTTTGCAATTTTGTCCGTATCTCTGCGTGTGTGTGTGTGTGTGTGTATTTGTAAATGTGAACACGATAGCTTGCGTTACGTTACAGCTAGGTTCATGAAATTTCAAATATATGTAATACGTCAAATTTTTATTTCTCTATCAACTTTTCACCGATTTGCGTAACCGGAAAATACGTAAAAATATCTAAATAAGTAAAAGATCAAATTCTTTAATTTCCGGTCACCACAAGTGATACTTTACGCCATTTCCGATTTATCAAATATCGCATGTGAATTTATCTAGTAAGCCGTGCTAGGGGGGGGGGATAACTACACCACCTACCCTTCTAGGCTTATCTAACTAATTTCCGGTCAGTGCAAGTCCGGCTAAACCCAGACTGGTTAATAACCTTAACCTTAGTCTAAATAATACAAGAATAGTAGTTGAATAAATATTGACCAAGAAAATAATAGGCATTGTGTAAAGCGATTATCGCCTGTATCGTGGTAATGGGAATGCACATTTTAGTGGTAAGCTTTAAATGATAGTAGATCACGTGATCAAACACGACACTCTCACAGCAGCCCTAACAGTCATGTATAAATGTGCCATCTAGTCTATATAGGGCTTTGTGCTAAATTTCTGTCTGTGCTTTTTTCTGTTTGCGCTTTTTTCTGTTTGCGCTTTTTTTCTGTTTGCTCTTTTTTTCTGTGTGCTCTTTTTTCCGTTGCGCATCTTTCTGGTCAGCCTAATCTGTAAACCTCACAAGTCTAGAAGATATATTTGTGATTCTGTTTTTAGACTTTCAGACTTAATAGGGCCTACATGTTATGTTATCAATAGGCGCATACAAGAGAAAATTAGGTTTGATCTAGAGACTTCAAACATTTCTGAAGGACCAAATTTGAACTTGTAGGCCGTTGGTGTCGATGCCAAATTTTAGCGTCGTCCACAAAGACACGCTTTTGTAATATTATTATTATCTATATGCCCATATTGTGACAGATATTTACAAATGTGTCTAACATGGGACAGAATACATAGCTACTCAACAGAGATATGTCCCATCACTCGTCCACAACTTAAGAAACCGCTGTACTGCAAAACCCACTCAGATGGAAAATGTCTTAGATCTGTGTTTTAATAAAAACAAGTACCTTGTCGCTAGTTGGGACCTGTCTGTAGTCTGTTACTACTCTATATCTAAAAACAATAAAAGGATAACGTTCATTTTACTTGTTCAATTTCTTGGATACATGTATTTGGTGCATCTTGTTCAGTTTTGTTGATATTGACTAACCTAAAGGGTTAAAATGTAACAAACAAAGAAAATTGTGACTAAATTTCCAGGTGCGGGTATGCGGACACTAGTTAAAGTATATATCTATTTATATTTATAGAAATGAAAGTATGTTTGTCTGTTTGTCCTATATGAATTACTATCGGATCGCCTTAAAACTTTATGAGCAGAGTTTTTTCCAGGCATCTCTTCGGGGGAGAGGGGGGGGGGGGGGCGGGGGTAGGAGAGCCCCCCCCCCCGAAGAAAGTCTACTGACCCCCGCCCGAAGGAATGGAATTTATATAGAAAATAATATATACTTTTAACATTGTTCACACGCTCCCCCCCCCCCCCCCGAAAATTTCAAGTGCCCCTACCCCCTCCCAGGAGAAAAAAGTCTGGAAGAAACACTGTGAAGATTTGTAGTATACTCCTGTGGAAATTCTTGCGGAAGTTTTTTTTTTAATTTCACAAGGGCGGCACCCTAGCAGAAAAGTAGAGGCGTAGTAACCTATTCCGGCGCCCGGGGCGAACTATCAATATTGTGTCAACCCTATTCAAACACTGCCAAAAAGGCGGCCATCCCTACATACTCTCATACATACAACAATTCAGGAAATCAGTCATGTATAAATCTATTTTCTTAAATTTGACTGAAGAATGAGGATTTTGAAAAAAAAAATTCTACCCCTTTTGGCGCCCCTTTTCGGTCGGTGCCTGGGGTATCTGGCAGGAAGCAATGCAATTTTTCTCTATAAAAATAAAAGTCGGATGCGATTTGACACTGTTCGTACGAGTGCTATGAAATTTTGGGGAGTTGGTGAAAAGGGTTTCGAGAAATTTTTTTTTCTTGAGGGTGGCACCCTGGGAGGGTTCGATTTTTCTCATTATACGATTATTAGTCCAGAATCCAGAGCGGCTATCTCATCAATTGCTGTCATAGGTACTACTAGATTCAGCAGATGCGTAGCGAGGGGGGGGGGGGTACATATATCCCCGGGCACCGACCCTACGGAGCGCCAAAATGGGTTGGAAAAAACTAAAAGCTCATTTTAACTAGAATTTTGCATTATAAATAAAAAAAATTATATGGGGTGTAGGGGGGATGTGGGGAATGCCAAATTGAAAGTTTGTACCCGGGCGCCGGGAAGGGTCGATACGCCTCTGATATTCAGAGTAAAACTGCACCAGGTCCATCCGCCTGCTCCTCGGCGATTGAGTGACCCAGAGCGGCCAAGAGCTTTCCCGGGAGACACTACGGTTTAGATGGGCTTCTTTAATTGTTCACTAAGTAGAATAAAGAGCGCCCGCCGGCGCCCTGGCAGTTGGTGACAGCGTGAGCCCTGGGTTTTTACCGGGAGCGCCTACTTTCTTTTTAAAGAGCACCCTACAATAGGGCAACGATGGCACTCGACATTTGATAATTAAACCGAATTAGGAGCGCCCCCTTTTGATAGTGTAACCTGTGGCTCCCTGTAGCGCCAAGGGAAGCGTCTCTAACACGTGGGCGGTCGCCGATGTGTGTTCTACCTCACTATTACAGAGGTTGATTAACGTACAGTCAAGGCTTTCATACAGTATGCTTGGTGCGTCTAGGCAGCAGTTTGGACGAACCCGCGCCCCAACAACGAATATGTGGGTTTATTTGTTTAAGCATTACCAAACATTTCATTCGTTTGTCCTTAAAATTTGAGAAGCTATTGCTAATACCCCTGTGGATGTTTCTACGAATTTTTTTTTTCGATTTGCTGGCGCCCGGGAGGGTTCGATTTAGCTACTTGGGCTTTCCCGTGAGTACTATGGTACCTTCGTTTGTTTTAATAACTGCAAAACGCTATGAATATGATGGGCTATTATAATAGCTCAATATACCGAGTGAGGCGCCTTCCTACATAGGCCCACCTACATACATACCTAACTCCCTGCCTATTTACCTACCTATCTACTAACCTGCCTGCGCTGCTGCCTGCCTACTACTTTCCTACCTGTCGTTATTCCTGCCAAACTGCTTTACTTCCACCCCGCCTGTCTGCCTACCTCACATCCTACTTACACACACACATATGCTCGTATTAGATATGTATGTGCTAGTGTGCTCTAGGACTATGTATTTTTACATTTTTGTTATTAGGTAGAACTATTCAGTATAAAGGAGTTTCTTTTTTTTTTGACGTTGTACATGCCGCTAAAATATTCTTG